GGGTACCGCTATGACAACTCTTCATTGATCCGCAGGCATGGAGCTGGTCAACCTCAGACGCTGGAAATCCAATCCTAAAGATGGTGGACTACTCAACCGCACATGGCTATCAGATAGCTACCAAATCCATGAAGACTCCTGCCCAGATAGCCACTCTGCGATGACAAGCAGTATGCCACGAGGACATGACAGGGCCGGAAGCGAACTTCGAACGACTGTGGAAGTTCTTGACGGGCCTACCAAATGGTAAACAGGTGAGCATTCTCTGGTTATTGTCTCTTCTAACCACACCCTTGGCGGTGTGGCTGATGGGCAAAGGGATGGAGGTAGACCTTGGCTGCTTGAGATGCAGATGGCCTTTTGAGTCCACGTGCCACCTGTGGTGGGATTGCCCAGCATCCAAAGAATCTGGAACTGGTGGTCCCACCACAGGAGGGAGTTTGGGGGAACAGGGGTGGTTTGGGATGAGAAATGGGTGCTGCTGGGCTTTCTCCCTCCGAATGTGGATGGTCGTCGGAGTTGGGGTTACATAGCGCATGTCACGAGAGGTCCGATCTATGAGGTGATATGGTCCGACAGAAACAGGGCAAGACTCCAGAACCTGGAGATAAAGAGACATATTAAACGAGGACTGAAGCTGGCAATTCGGGTGGACTGGAGAAGAAGAGCCAAGGCCGGCAAGGGAAGTCATCGACAACTACGTTGGTTCCTGCACGCATGGGCCAGAAACCATAAACTTGCAGCAGTTCATTGAGAAAGAGGATTGGTCCTCTCTCCATGGTTATCAGACAGTGTTGCTGCCAGGCCTTAGCTGTCTTCGTCGACTCCCTCAATTACATTTCCCTGTTCTCCTTTTCCCCAGTCTAGGATTAAAGTTAATTATCTTCTGCTTTTCCCTCCGTCCCCCTCCTTCTAACTGCCTCGTCCCGAAAGTCTTACTAGTTGTGACACCAGGGCACTTGGTCAGCAGGCCATAAGTAGGTAGTCTGGGTACCAGGGAACCAATGTACCAGGACACTCGGTACTGGTAGGGCCACAGTGGGACGGTAGGAGAGTGTCGTTAGAACCGGAACTCTGTCCTCTGGGCCGTGTTAGTCCCAGAAGTAGGATAGCCAGGCAGGGCATTAGAGGTGGGGTATAGTGCAAGTCTTGATTCAGTATGTCCACGGATGTGTTACAAGACATGGTATGGTATCTTCAGTGCGCTTCAAGTTTATGTAATTATTAGTTCGCAGCCCATAGGGACTGCGTTTACCACCCTTGTCTTTGTCGTTTTGTGTCGTGCACTCAGGTGGTCGCAGGGCACGTACCGGTAGGCGGGGCATTCAATGGTAGTTGGGAAGGTGGGACCATTAAGGGAGAGGGGTCAAAGTGGGTGGCGGATTCGTCCGCGACCTTGGCTTGTGGATGACGCCCTGAATTTCGACGCAAGGTCACTGGAGACCGGTTGCTTGTGCAGAGGGGTTTCAAAGGGGTTTGATTTGAGGGTTGTGCAAAATTGAGAATGATTTTTTTTCGAAAATGGGCAGATGCATTGCCATATTTGTCGTCTTTCGCGGGTAGAAGCGCCACAATATTTGTCGTCTTTTGTGCAAGTGGTGAGTGGTGGAGCGAGGGCCATCGTATGCGGTTGGCAGGCCGCAGATGCATCTGACCGCAGTCGCGGCCAGAGGAGAACGAATTTCTGCCAGACCACCGACCTGGGGCCACAGGCATATGACTGATGACGTCACATCACATCACGAACAAAAGAAACAGAAAAAAAAAATAAAAAAATCATTCACCTCTGGACGTGACTGAAGTCAGAGGCATCCGCGGGGTGTTTTTTTTTTTAACTTGCGGGGATCATTTTTGATGGGCCTCCCTCAACTTCTCACCACTTCCACAAAAGACAGAAATATGGCCGGTGCCCGAAAAAGAGTTTGGCATCAAACCAGTTTGGCCTCAAGGTAGGGGCTGGTGGACACTATGGGCTGCGAGCCCGCGTCCTTGCTGTATGTCAGTCTGAGGTAGGTACCTGGAAAGTCGAAGTTAGTGACTTTCTGCTGGCTCATGCTGTCAGTACTCCGGGTTGTATTGTGAGGTCCCCAGCCTCTATTTGATTCTTTATAATGCAGTGTGTTTGGTTAAAAAAAAAAAAAAGACGTAGAACTCTCTGTGCGATGCGGAACACGGTTCCGAAAGGAGCGCCGATAGCGGGCGGGTAGCGTAGCGCTCCGTTACCGGCGTGGCTCCACGATTTTCGTGAGCGCTGTTCGCTCGCCAACCCCGCCATCACGACGGGGTGTAGGAAACGAGACATGCGCGTTCCGCTTCGTGAGCGTGAGGCTTCAGCCTTGTCATGTTGTCTCCTTGAACAGTCCGTTCACCGTGGTAGGGTAGGGAATGACCACGGGGCCATAACTTACTCCATACCCAGTGGCGCAGGCAGCCGTAATTAATTGGGAGTGTCAATTACCACGGGAGTCAGAAGGGGTAAGATCGAGTGTCGATTCAGGTTCAATCACTCAATGGAGGGTAAAAGGTGATGATTTTCACGGGTCGCTGAATCAAGTTACCCTATTATCACACGACTGAGGTATGCTCCATAGCCGTAGGTACGAACGACTGCCCTTGGATGGTGCCAATTACCACGGTTAACCGTAGAGGAGCACTTGTCAAATTGGATGAAGCTTAGCAAAGATCAAATACATGAGTAACCGGGAGCGTTGCACAGGGCTTCCCTTGGGCCGGCGGTGATTAAGTCGACCTTCCCTATCACTGGAGTAAAACGACAATAGACACGAATACTCCCCACTGGTTAGACCTAGCCACTCGCCAAAGTAGTAGCAGCAGCGAAAGTGAACTGCCATTACGGAAATGCGGATCTCAGAAAGATAGACTCGGAAGCGGGTGTAATGGAATTAGGGAAAGAAGCCGAGCACGGCTTTCCCCTGTAGTTACCGAGGTTCGTCCCGGTAAATTCGATCGACTCACGGCAGGGACGTGTTACTGGTCGCTTTAGGTCAGAAGTGGCTGTTTCTCGCCATCTTAGAAAAGAACGGGGAGTGCCACGTCTTTTAAGTTAGTCGAGAGATAGTCTGCGACGTTGCCCCGTAGACGGTAAGGCGAGCGAGGGAGGAGGCGCCCGCTCACAGTGATTAACCAGGGCACTCGGTTAGTAGGGCCGCAGTGGGCCAATAGGGGAGTGTCTGTAGGAACGGACGATTGTCCTCTGGGCCGAAGTAGTCCCAGACTAGACTAGCCAGTCCATACCGATGCAGAACTGCAGATGTTAAGAGAACGAGTTTCATGTTTAGGTAACCCAGTATCAAGGACTTTCTGCAGGCCACAGGCCTGTAAGCTAAGCTGAGCTGGCTGATGTTAAGAGAATGAGAGGCGATCCTAGTTGGGAGTATGTGATATGAGACTGAGAAAGTCTGTAGCAAGGACTTTCTGCAGGCCACAGGCCTGTAAGCTAAGCTGGCTGATGCTGTCAGTACCACTGGGTTGAATTGTGAGGTCCTCGGCCTCAATTTGAATTATTAATGGAAGAATGATACAAGTAAAAAAAAAAAAAAAAAGTCAGAAAACGTGGTTTTCGACAGCCTGTGGCCAGCCTCTCTTTCTCTCTTTCTGTCTCTGTTCTCTGTACGTCACTTTGTGTGTGGTCGTGAATATCTTTCCAAGCCCTTGATGACGTGCTGTTGATGCCTGTATTGGACGAAGTCCTTTGATTACTGCTCGCCAAGCTACTTACGAAACAGAAAAAAATTGTGAGGGCACCTTCCTGTAGAAGGTGACAAGATACATTCGTTTCTAATCGTAGTAATCCGAAAAAAAAAAAAAAAAAAAAAAACTACTCGTAGTATTTGATATATACATTCGATACTACTCGTAGTAATGGATATATGTTGCGACGTTTCCGGGAAGCTGTTTTTTCCGTTTTGTGAGTGGTGTAATGACGCCCTAAGAGGCTCGCCACACAGGCTGTCAAATGTCGAAAATTTTCGACAGGTGTCACAAAATTTTCGACAGTCGGGCCGTCGACAATTTCGCCCTCCTTCGCCACATAGCCTGTCGAGGGGCGAGGTTGTCGAAAGTTCCCAAGTCGACTCAGCCTTTCGACAGGTGCTGTGCGACGAAGGCGGTCGCCTGTGGGGAGTTGTTACATGGATGAATTTGTGCGCGCAAGCGGACCAGATGTCGAAGCCGTTTTTGACAGCAACTGCTGACCACATACGGACAAACAGGCCACAGCTGTCAGGGAGCAGTCTCTGACAATGCAAATTCGAACGCAATTTTTGAAAGCCCGGCGGGGCACTGTCAAATTTCCGTCACCTGCAGGCGGGAGAGGAAACGGTTGCTGGAGGGCGGCTGTCGAAAGGACGATTCTGACACCTGTCGAAAGTTTTTTGAGTCGCATTTCTTCGAAAGTCTGTGTGGCGATGCAAAACTGTCTTCGACAGCTGTCAGAAACATTTCGAAAGTTGGGCCGTCAGCTCACCCCCTTTTGGCCACACAGGCTATAGAGTGTACCATTCTGACACCTGTTGCAGTTTTTCTGGGCGGACTTTTGAAGAAAGTCCGTGTGGAGTGGAATAGGAGCTAGCCCAGTAGGTGAAAGCATCGCATCGGACTCTTGCCCCACAGCTACGGGATCGAATCAGGACGCAAAAAAAAAAAAAGTGAAAAAAAAAGTCCGTGTGGCGATGCAAAACTGTCGAAAACCCGGTTTTCTACAGCCCGTGTGGCGAGCCAGCCGCTAAGGGCCTCGCGACACCACTCTCGAAATGTGATAAACACAAAAATTTAGACGGTGCATCTGGCCATGTTCTAGCGGGAAGTTCATTCTCATTTCGAACATTTCGAGAGTGGTGTGGAGAAGCCGAACGTTCTACACCGCATTCCAACTTCTCTCCTCCTCGCTTGTCGCTTTCATTCCAATCGCCAGTACTTAACTTCATGTTTCATCTTTCTTTTCATTTCAACACTTCGAGGTACATACCTGAGTTATGTAGGCTCGTTGGTTTTCTTTTCATTCCTGTCTCCATCTTCAGCTTCAATACCCGCATCGATCTTCACGCACGTTCCGTCCTCTCTCCTCTACTTCTCCCGCTCAGTTGGCGTGGGGGACGCTTTATTACTTATTAACAGCCCTCTTTCTTCCTTCTCTTACCCCCCTTGCCGACGGCTTGGAAGAAGAGCCTGGCCTCCCCCCCGACCCCTACTCCTCCCCCTCCCCTTGCTCTCGTGCTGTCGTGCTCATGGCGGGTTACAGCGTTTTGCCGGCTTACTACCATGAGGAGTCTGTCAAGGCGCATCTGTCGAGTCCCGCTCCTACGATGGACCCCATGGGCAAGTACTCGTTGAAGCATCAAGGTGCTTTCTCGGCTGTGGAGGCCATCGTGGCGCAAGAGGACGGACAATCGAGCTTGAAGGCCGCGGGCGGGGCGATGGTGAGCATGCACAATAACGTGGATTTGCGCGTCGAGCTAGAAGGCGGCGTGGGTCAAGCTTGCTGTCGCTGCTGCTGCGCAGGTTCGTCCGCTTTCTTGACGCACTTCTTCATCAAGCCGGAATTGCCACAGGGGACACGTGGCGACGTGCTGTTGGCTCCTTCGGTCCCCGGAGAAACCATGCTGCTTCATCTCCACGGTGCAGGGGACGACTGGATTATGCAGAAGGGCGCTTTCTTGGCCTGCGATCCAGGGGTAGAGATCGGTGTTCACACCCAAGGGGTAATCACGGGGTGTTTCGGCGGGCAGGGCATCTTCGTCCTGAGGGCATCCGGAGAAGGCCGCTTGCTTGTGAGCTCGTTCGGCAGCATTATCAGGTACGACCTAGGCCCCGGGGAGGTTCGCAAAATTGACAACGGGGCGTTGGTGGCTTGGCAAGCGCACATGGATTACACCGTGGGCAAGGCATCGAGATCCCTCTTTGCGACTATCTTCAGCTCTGAAGGATTTGTCACGCGATTCACAGGACCTGGCACTGTATACGCTCAGACACGAAGCATCGAAGGACTGGCGGACGCAGTCGCTCCGTACGTTCGTGCCCGCACGCAGGGATGACAACCCTGATCCTGTCGCGTCGGATTGTTAGTTTTTTTTTTTTTTTTTTCTTTCTTCAATTGTTAGTATTTTCTATAATGCTTTTTTTTTTGTTTGTTTCACTCTCTCTTGCTCTCTCTGTCTCTGTTTGTTTCTACATTCGGCTATCTTTGCTGAACTGCGTCTCTTTGTTTCTACATTCGTGTCTATCTTCGTCGAATCGAAGGCTATCGGCTTCGTAACGACGCAGTTTAGCGTTCTCCTTACTTGATTAGGTTTACCCAGTGTTTATTATTATTTTTATTATTATTTTTTATTTTTAATGTGTTTGCCATTCCTGACAACGGTCTAGAGATCCGAGTTGGTGTATCCTCGTTCCTTCTCGTTCCTTCGCGGATTTCGGTTTATCTTTTTTCCATGAATAGGCTTGCCTCTTGCCAAATGATTTACAGAAAAAGAAGTGAAAAGAAAAAAAGAAGGTTTATCATTTTAGCCGATTCGGTTCAGAAGCAGCACTTTTGGCGGTAAATTGATCGGTACCTGGTGAAGTTATGTATCGACCGTTTAAGGATGTATAATCGTGTAGGGATTAATTACTAATTAAAGAAATTGCCGCCCCCCTCCTATCTTCATCACATCCCACTTCAGCAACATCACGCCAGGGCCACTGCTAGGCGCACAAAACTACTGCACAGATGCACAAAGCACACTCTGCCTATGGACGAAAATCTGAATCTGCTGGACAGTTACAGCTACACCTACAATGCGTGTTCTAGAATCAGAGAAAAAGGACGAAAATCTAAGTTCTAGAATCAGAGAAAACAGACGAAAATCTCTAAGTTGTAGAATCAGAGAAAAAGGACGAAAATCTCTAAGTTGTAGAATCAGAGAAAAAGGATGAGAATCTCCTAAGTTGTAGAATCAGAGAAAAAGGACGAAAATCTCTAAGTTGTACAATCAGAGAAAAAGGATGAAAATCTCTAAGATGTAGAATCAGAGAAAAAGGACGAAAATCTGTAAGTTCCGGCCGGCTGCCATGCACAAAGCACACTCTGCTGCTCTGTGCACAGATGCACAAAGCACACTCTGCCTATGGGTGACGGTTCAAGCTAGACGCACAATGCGTGCTCAAGATATGTACAAAAATAAGGGGGGGTTCAATCCCCTGTGGAATGAAGATAGGAGGAATGCGTGCTCAAGATATTTACAACATAAGCGGGGTTCAATCCCCAAACTACAAACTCTGCTTTTGTGTAAGGGACGCTGGACTTACTTTCCGGCTGTCATCATTTGATGGGTAGCCCCGGGGCCAAGCCCCACTAGCGGTCAGAAAAGCATAGGAATGAGTACCGTTCGTGTGTGTGACACTCTTTTCAGCCGCAGCCGCAGATAGCAAAGGGGATCGGACGGTGCCTTTTTTTTTTTTTTTTTTTTTTTTTTTGTGGGATCGGACGGTCCTAATTTTGTTGCCGTGCAAATTATCGTAGGACGGCAGATCTTTCTCACCCTCTCTCATTGGCGATCAACTGTGTGCTATGCGTCATAAGAGTGATCAAAAAAGATCATACCATGTATGTTTCATAACATATAGGTATTCTTTCTCATCGTTCCGCAGGCCCCTGTCAGCATGGGGCGTAACTTTCCGATATGCCCTTACTGGACCACTGGTGGCGTTTCATCGGTAGGTCCTTGAAATGCCCTGACGAGGGGCACGCATCTTTCTGCGATGCCCTTGCAGCAGTGGTGGCAGGAAATCGAATTCAATGTGGTAGGCATTCCACGCGCCACCACGGAAAAACGGTCTGTATATGTGTGTGTGTGTGTGTGTGTGTGCGCGCGCGCGTGTGTGTCCATGCTCATTGCCAAATGTCTGATATGCCCCGGAAGCATCTCTCCCTGGGCCAGGGGAAAGGCTGCGAGGGTCAACAACGGCCACAGGGGCTCGCTGGAAAGATGGATGGTACCAATAAGGGCATATGGGAGACTTTTGTGCTGGTTCTCAACGGCCATCCCGTAGGGTACTGGTACCGGTAGGGGCATATGAAAATTTTTTCAGGCCCAAACGACGCCAGGAGTTTTCTGGAAACATCATTCGTGGTCAGAGGGGCGCGACAAGGTAAGTCGGCTGTCAGAGGGGCACGCCTCAAATAAGTGCAAACTTCAGGGGCATTTCAAAAATTTCCCCCAAAAAAAAACAGTCTGCAGACTTTGCATTTTTTTTTATTTTTTTTTTTAATATCAGAACCTCGCGGTTCTGGCTCCTGCCATTCTGGGGAGCAACAGCCCGGTTCCTATTCCACTGGCAAGTCGATATGAAATACATTGGAAACTCACACACGCTCCTCCGAGACAATGGCGGGCTAGGAATTGGGAATGAATGTGGATGTAGAACATGGGTACATTAGCACATGAAACCCTTTTTGTTTTTTGCCAAGGGGTGGCCGACTCGAAAACCCAAAATTGAAGTCGGCCAACGGCTCGAAACATTTTACACTCCGGCCGCCGGCGGGAATTCCAAGGAGGCAGCGAAAACCAAAAAAAAAAAGGCCTATGACTTCACATGGTGGGAAAGGGCGGGGGGGGAAGGGCTGGGAGGGGGGCAGGTGGGAATAGAAGGTTTAGTGATCCACGGTTACCCGAGTGGATCCTCTACCCGCCCGTCCCCGCGCCCGATTTTTTGTTTTGCTGCCCGTACCTGTCCGTACCGGTTCGCGGGCCTATGTTTGGCTGGCCCTACCTACCCGTCCAATCCATAAATGCTAACTGTGCCCACCCGTCAACTGCAACAAAAAAAAAAATGCCCGCCCATAACCAACGCCCCCTTCGGAAAGGGGCACCCACACCTACCCGTGACCTGGTGCGGAGCACCCCACACAGGCCGCTGAGATACTCTCTCTCTCTCTCTCTCTCTCTCTCTCTCTCTCTCTCTCTCTCTCTCTCTCTCTCTCGCGCGCGCGCGCGCGCGCGCGCTTCCCTGCTGGCGTGCTGGGAGTGACGGGGTACAACAGTTTTCTTTGTTTTTTTCCTTTTTTCTTTTATAGAAGAAAGTTGTATATTTTTTCTTTTGTCTCTTTTTTGTTTCTTTTATATGCACCTACAGGTACCTCGAGGCTCGGCAAGCTTCGGGATACCGGTAGGCTGAGGTTTGGGTTGTTCAGATATAGGTTCGGGCCTGAACAACTGGTACCAAGTCATATTTTTAGGACAAGTAGATTTGAATTTGCCTGGACCACACAGCTTTGCTGATGGGAAAAGACGCTTGGCCACAAAAAGCTGGCAAGGACTTTTGGAAAGTCTGGAAACGATTTTGCGGGAACCCACAGCGGAGTGCGTTTTGCGGCAAAGCGAGAGTTTTTTTTTCCATAAAAGGAAATGTGGCCAGGCATTCGATCCAAAAAGGAGCGTGGGGGAGTGTCCAAGTACTCTCGCAAGGACCAGTGGAACGGCCGAGCATGTAACTTCAGGTGCAAAGTGGAGAGTCCAGCTTGCGACGCGACCTTCGGGATTTTTTTTTTTTTTTTTTTTTTAATAAACAAAAAGCCCTTTCATGACTCCTCTATCTCGGCGGTGGTAGGAGGCCCGCTAGGATTGAGGGCTCGGCCAGCGGACTGCTCCATCTATTGCTGGGGTGTGGCACCTGCTGGAAACCGGGTCCAGCATCCCTTGGAACAGCAATGCAGAGTATTGAGTCGAAGCTTTAGTTATTCGAGATACTAGAGAGATAATCGGAGAGTCATTTCCCAGCAGGCTGCTAGCCTAACCCTTCTCCTGCTTAAGCTTCTTTTCCCAGAAGTGATGTCGGCCCAATCCCTGAGGCGTCAACTTGAAGTGCTTGCTAACAACCAATGATGCATCTACTACAATGTCTTCTTGTGACGGGCCTGGTCAGTGGCCACGGCCGTGTTGATGTAGCTTCCACTTGAAGTTCTGTCAGAATCCATGGCTGCTGCATTCAAGTTTAACTCAAGAACTCTTAGGGTTTCCAAATTGTGACCCTTATCACTGGGCTAATTCTTGACCTTCCTTCGGGAGAGTTGGTGTCACTCTTACTTGACCTGACCATTGTCATTGTGTCTGCCGGCTATCATTCGTCCTTGGTTGACGTTGCACCTTACCCAGCGAGACGTCCCATTCATGTTGTGTGCAGTGTGCGGTTGGAGAGGTAGGGG